GATGGAACTAAGTATGCGTAAACAATATACCATCAATCGTTTACTAATGACGCAGTAAATCTGTTGACAAGCCTTCAACCCCGACTTTGAATTCGAAGCCTTGCAAATACCAGACATGACCCCTTGCTTATGAGACAACAAATTATTATTAGAGCTCGAAGTTATTTAATACAAAAATGTTTGTTTATCTTATATTATGCTTATATATTATGTCATTTATTTGATTTCTAATAACTTTGTCACGCTGTTATTACATCACCCGTAAAGATGTCTGACAAGCTTTATCAACGTACGATAGATGGCGCTAGTCGTTTTGGATACTTTCAGATTTTAAGCATGTATGTATGATGTATAACGTATACGTACGTAATAGTATATATAATACTGTATGTATATATACTTTGTTTATATAATGAAAAATAATACATACATTGCATGTTAAATTACATAGGCAAAGATGGACTTATCCCTAGAAGAGATTTCTTCCAGTCAACCCATGGACTTGAGACATAGTATTAAGTAGCAGGTCAATTAAGCACCAGGAAATGTATGAAAGAAAAAAAAAATGTATATGTTCCATACATAAACCTTACAAATATAATATTTAAAACTGTTTATAAACACTAAGAAATATTTACCGTTGTTATTTTAACGTTTAGTATAGATTTCTCAGAGATCCTATAGTATGTTGACTCAGATAATCACCTATCATCATACCAAATGTCATCAAAATCTGTCTAGTGGTTTTCTTGTGATGCGGTCACAGACAGACAGACAAAAAATCTAAAAACTATAAATTCAGCCTCTGTATCGATAATTAATAATGACTATTTCAGTAAGATTTTCCAAATATTTAATCTACAGATTTGACTTACAATTTATTATATGTATAGATTTATATTCAACTAGCAGAACCCGCGGCTTTGCTCACGCTAAAATTATTTTACCCTCATAAAGGATGAATTTTGAAAAATGCTAAGACACGTATTTATTTAATTTTATTGAAGAGTATATACACCAAGTTTCAAGCAATTCTGGTAATAAATATTTTTTTCATAGTGATATAACGTGTTTTCTCGTGGGAATTAAGTAATCTCCCGCGATAAAAAATAGCCTATATCATTCTCCAGCCCTCCAACTATCTCCACATAAAAAATCACGCCAATCCATTACTCCGCTTCGACGTGAAAAAAGGACAAACAAACGAACAAACAAACAAACTTTCACATTTATAATATTAGTATGGATTAAAGAATTAATTTGAAAACAGAAATCAACAAAAGTTCGTATAAAATATTATTAGTCTAATTAAATGATAATTCTTTTAAGGTTTTATAAGTTTATTATAAATCCAAAATAAAAATGACGTAGACAATATAAATTAAAATTTATGTAATCACTTTATGAAAGCTTACTTCGCAATTTCCCAGCAGTATTATTAAATACAAAGAGATTTTCTGGACAGTATTTGAAATTAAATTTAAACTACATTTTCATCTACAATTACATTTTGGTCGGATAAACTTATACTTAAAAGGACCTTATTTAAATATATTATTTTTATGGTTAGTTCTATTTCAATTAAAGAAAATTACAAATATAATTAATTATATAAAAAACTAGCATTGCCCGCGGCTCCGCCCGCGTTCAGGTGACCAAAAACCAAATTTTTAGGTTTTACGTATCAGTGTACTCTTATATTGCAGTTTTTGTATTTTTTCTCTAAAATGAAAAATTTTTTGCGATAAGAAGTATCCTAAATGTTGACCCGGATAACCAGCTATTATTATACCAAAATTAATCAAAATCCCTCCAGTGGTTTTTCTGTGATGAGGTAACAGACAGACAGACAGACAAAAATTCTAAAAACTATAGATTCGGCCTCTGTATCTGTAAATGCCTTATACATAAATCATGACAAATTAATCAAATATATTATTTTTTATTAAAACACTCAATATATAAAAATGCTACCTTACATATACATATATCGATGTATCATTTTATATATGTACTGCATAATCAAAACTCCAGTCAGTCTCTCGATGCTTCAGTGAATAAACTCAATTAATGTTTTGCAAGCCATAATAAGACCATGCGATTTATCCTAACGAGTTATTGAAAGGCAATCAGGGATGATGTAAAGTATAGATACTAATGAAATTATATTAAATTAATATTTGTATGAATAACTAAAATCAAACAAAGTTGAATCAAGCTTTAACTTAACTTATAGTTTCAAACTGTAAACATAACATGATGCTATTGATAACGTAAATAATAATTTACTTTAATAAATTATGTTATGTCTTTAACAAATATATTTTCTATACGTTTATTCCATTTATTAAAATCTATACAAATATATAATAAAATTCTAACTGAGTCGAATCTGTACGTTAAATATTTTTTGGAAAATCTTATTGAAATAGACATTATTATCGATACAGAAGCCGAATCTATACTTTTTAGATTTTTTGTCTGTCTGTCTGTCTGTCTGTTTGTCTGTCTGTTACCGTATCAAAAAAACCACTAGAGAGATTTTTATGAAATTTGGTATGATGATAGCTATCCGGGTCAACATATAGGATACTTTTACTGCGGGAAATATCTCATTTCTAAAGAAAAAATACAAAAACTGCATTGTAAGAGTATACTAATATGTAAAACCTAGGAATTTGGTTTTTGGTCATCGGAACGCGTGCGGAGCCGCGGGCAATGCTAGTCTTTCTATAAAAGCTATTACTGAGAGCTTTTTGTTATAATTGGATGTAAGAAAATTGTTCTAAAATCAAAGTTCGTATAGAAAAATAACTAACATAAATGCAAGTACCTAAAGCAGCGAGATAGTGCGAGTATAGAAAAGTATAAGATCAGAATCAATTTAGTTAGCCTCAATATTGTTTATTATTGATGTTATTTCTAAGAGAAACATTACGATTTAACAATTTAATTATAATTAACTAGCGGCTTATACTCGCTTCGCTCGGGTTCGCCTCTAGGAAAACAAAAACAAACCTATCCCACGGGAACCGTACATTTTTCCGGGACAAAAAGTAGCCTATGTGTTATTCCAGACTATAATCTATCTCTGTGCCAAAATTCATCCAGATCTGTTCAGCTGTTCTGGCGTGATTGAGAAACAAATATCCAAACATCTAAACTTTCACATTTATAATATTAGTAAGATTACTATTACATATGCAAAAAAATTTTTTTGTATGGATCTAGCTGTACGTGTTTATTCCTTCTTCACGTTGAAATGGTTAGGCGTTATAATTATTTGAGTGAAATTAGATACAGAAAGATTATGATTAAGTAGAAAGTACATAGATTTCTGTCAGTAATAAAATTTTACAAAAAGTAGCGCAATCTGTACGTATTATTATAAATACTAATACTTTATCTACATACATGTGTAAGGCAGTGTTAGCCCAATGGTAACGCACTCGGTTGGGGAACCGAGTGAAGCGTGTTCAAATCCCGGCTTGTACCTCTCATATTTTCATGTGCGAATCATTTCCAACATTGTTACCACTTGTCTTACGGTGAAGGAAAATATCGTAAGGAGACATGTGAAGTCCGCTAACCCGTATTTGGCCAGCGTGGTGTACTACGACCTGATCCTCCTCTTATTGAAAGGGCGTTAAAAAGACTGAGTAAAGTGCTTTATGAGTTAAAGACCAACCCGAGCAAAGCGAGTGTAAGTGGCTAGTGTGATAGCTATACAATTAACTTCATTCATTACGTAAAAACAAGACTGGAAAAGCTCTCAGTTAAATATAACAAAATTAAAAGATAAACAGAGTCAATTAACAGTATGGTAATCAAATATCACGACAGCCAGAACTTAAAAGCTCCGAATCATAATGGTTAAGTTTAAGGTTTTAAAGCGTCTAGACGCTTATAGAGATTCTAATCAAGTTTAGCGATATTCAGAATTCAGAGCGATACACTGTACGTTATAATAACTCTCAATGTATATATATATTTCACTTCAATACTGTTTCTAATTAGACCATGTAACTCATAAATAAAAGTACCTGGGCGTCTTTTTCGGAAAAGTCTCCTACATATATAGATAAACTTAAAAAGCAAAACCTTATCTATACTAATATTATAAAGAGGAAAGATTTTGTTTCTTTGTTTGCTTGTACCGAATAAGCTCCTAAACTACTGGACCGATTGAGATAAAATTTAGTAAGAAGATATTTTAAGACCCTGGAAAGGACATAGGATAGTTTTTATCCCGGAAATCTTCCTTGAGGGGGTAAAAATGGGGATCAAAGTTTGTATCGGGAATCAACGCAGGGACAAACCAAAGCGAAGCGAGGGTGAGTCGCTAGTCTAAATACAAAATTTGATCCAAATCATTATAGCCGTTTTCGAGATACAAAAAATAAATTTATATAAATATACAAGAATTGCTCGTTTAAATATATTAGATTAGAATGAGATAAGCATAGATTTACTTTCATAAATATTTTTTCCCGCCGAAAAAACAAAAGACGCTACTTTTTTTATTCATTTGTTTTTTTTTATTTAACCTAAATATTTAATTTATAAGCGTAAAACTTAAATATGCACTTATAAGGTCTCTAAAAGCCAAAAAAAAAAAGTATGCCTAACAAAGCAGGTGACAGTGTATTTATACTAGTAATGTAAGAAGTTTTGCATTTAAAAGTATTTATATGTATGTTTTTTACTTCTCCACTCAGCTGGACAAATTTAGATAAATTTTAGTACAGAAATAGATTATGTCCTGGATTAAAATATAGGCTCCTGCTAGTAATAACAACTGCAAAAAGCTATAAATTTCTCTAATGAGTGAGTTGGTTTAAAAAAAAATGTCACAACAAATACATAAGTGACAAGATGCGTGAAAGACAAACTGACAAACAAATAAACAGATTTTCGCATTTGCATATATTTAGTATTTTAATTACTGTTTAATTTTTATTTCTAATATATATTTAATATCTAAATATGAATTGTTTCAGAACGACTCTGACGATGAGCAATGCGCCTTGAGCGACAAGTGGCAATACGAGAGAAAATCGAGGCGATGGTCGAGAGTGGTAGAGATTACCCCTCAGGCACAAAGGAGGCTACAGGTTAGTTTCATTTTTGACCTACTTCAAAAATGGAGATACTTAATTTGGACATTATGTTTTTTGTCTGTGTTACGCGATATACTTGCTAATTGCAAATCAGATTTTTACGCCACGTGTTTATCGACCATATATTGAATTTGGTATAGTTTTTGTCGTATTTCTCTTTGAGTGATTTTAAAATATATATTTTTTTTAGTTTTCAGTCAGTAGTTTTAGTTTTTATTTTACGGACCTAACCTGGATTTTGATAAGAGATTTTTTTTGATTCATTGCTATTGCTTGTGTTAAGGTATCAGGAAAGTAAAAATAAACTTATTTAGCTTATATTATTTTTGCCGAAATCCATCTAGATATAATCTAGAATTTACTACGCTTGAAGTATTTTGTGTGGCGGCTGACAATAAGATACTTAAATATATATACAATATTAGATTAATTTTATTAAATAAACTCAATAAAATATTGTGTACTGGTAATATACAATTTTTACAGTCTTATTTCTTATATGTTGAATGAACCGTTTAAAAGAAAACGTTTGCCTGTTATTATTGTTATATTAAAAAAAAACTACGTATCATTAACTTTTATAAGGCACAATAAAGAAAATATTTTTAAAAATATTGTATTTCAAGCCAATTGTATCCATATGTATTTGAATTTCTGGTTTTCCTCTTTGGATTCAGAATATTAATCAGTTGAAAAATATGCTCCATTTTTCAAACGACGCTCCCGAAGTCAAAGTAAAGTAATTTAAACAAAGAATATTAGGTTTTACATTTGACTTGACGTATTAAGTACTTTGATCGACAGTGTTCATTCATTATACGAAATGGGTTTTATTATATTTTTATATAGAATTCCAAGTAAAAAAATGTTTTTAAAAATGTAAAAATGCTGTAGTCTTATCAAAATCGATCGAAGATACGTTTAATTGTTTATTTTTATGTATTTTATCGTATTTTTAAAGTGGTGATACAATTAATATATTGAAAACTTTTTACAAAGCTGTGCTTATCTCTAAATGAGATATCTTCCAGTCGACCTACGGAAGTGCAAAATAGTGTTAAAATGTACGAATAAATAATAAGTTATTTATTCGTAGGTTAAAATAATTGTTTTTGCGTTATATTTTTGAATTTAACTAAAATCCATTGGACAACTTCAGCGTCAAGAAGTAATAACAATATTTGTTAATTTGATTTATCGAGCTTTACTCGATATATCGAGCATTAATTTTTCCAGTTTTAATTCATTTTTATTCATACGTTCCTAGAATTATTATAAAAGAATCATATTTATAAGCTTACATTGTATACCAGATTGCTTTAACAGCTTAGCAATCAACGTGCTTTAGATAAATAACATTAAACTTTACTTCGACCTATAAATATAACTTATGATGATAAGTTTAAGAGGCTTAACCTAAAGTTACAAAATTTTTAAATTTGAACATTTTAATTTCGGATTAGATAGAAATCTTTATAAATTGTCTTCATTACAAATATAAATAAATATTTTAAAAATAAAAATTATTTTAGAAGATATCGCAAGTACAACTATTTATTTCGATTCGAATAGAACGACTCGAATAGCAAAGTGTATGTATGTATAATACAATCTATTCGACGTTTCTTTAACATCTATATTTAGTACGGTTATTAGTTATCTATACATATAATAAAATTGTAACTAAGCCGAATCTATACATTAAACATTTTTTGGAAAATCTTATTAAAATAAACATTATTATCGATACAGAGGCCGAATCTATAGTTTTTAGAATTTTTGTCTGTCTGTCGGTCTGTTACCGCATTACAGAAAAACCATTGGAGGGATTTTGATGAAATTCGGTATAGTAATAGCTGGTTATCCGAGCCAACATATAGGATACTTTTTACCGCGGGAAAATATCTCATTTCTGAGAAAAAATACAAAAACTGCAATTTAAGAGTATACTAATATGTAAAACCTAAGAATTTGGTTTTTGGTCATCTGAACGCGGGCGGAGCCGCGGGCTATGCTAGTACAGTATAATATTAGTATGTTAAAAGCATAATATAAGCAATATTCATTGTTTAATATGAAAAAGTTTAATTTATCTAGTAGTTTTACTAACTTTAAAATGGAAGTACCTACGCAATTCTACTTGTATTTTTTTGTGTGGCGAAGATATGTCAAATTATGAATCTATTTCTTTTTATTGAGATTTGCTTCCATATGATATGAGAAATATATTCTAAGCTAAAAAAACGCCCGGTAGTTAAGGATTTTTGGAAATTTACATTTGGGTATAACTTTTTACAAAACTTCTTCCTTTCTAAGTTGCCAGAGTTAGTTCATACGAAAATAGTCGATGTTGAAAATTGCTACCTATGATTTACTGTTACAGGTGATAGCAGCTCGAGCCCTAGCAGAGAGGGAGGCTCGGGAAGCGAGAGGAGAGGTGGAAGATGATGAAGATGAAACTCTTCCCACCATCAGAGTGGGCCTCGTGGATGCTGATGGTCACTACACAGATGTTGAACCTGATTTGTAAGTTTAAATTACATCTAGCACTAATTAATAACAAAATTAAAAAAATAATAATAGTTTTTAACACTTTAAATAATCTGGAAATGAAATTTAATGCTATACATATTATAAAGACACAAACGCTTTTAAAATATAACAAAAAGCTTTCAAAGCTCGGCCTTATTTACGTAACAAGCAAAAGAGATACGTTCAATTACAATGAAATTAGAACGACGCTGTAGACTAAAAACCCAAGAAACTTTTCTCTACCAATCATTTTATTCCATGATAAATTATTGCATAGAGTATTATTATTCTTACTTATTGCACAAATAATTAATAGAAAAATACACAAAAAATGACGTGGACAAATATAAAAAGTCTAATCATTTGAAATACGTACAATAATTATTTTGATTTATTTTATTGATAAAATAAACAAAAAGTTTTTATATAAATGTTATTTTTAATACTTATTAGCATAAACAAAATTTCATTTACCAATGTCTATGTGTACCTATGTCTGCATAGCTTACATTAAAGACCGTTTTCAATTATTTTTTACATCTGTAATAAGACAAGATACTATTTTAAGCCAAAATTCTATGTTGCACAATGTACAAGGCCCTTTTCAAAGCAGTTGGTCATTGTCCATTATCATTTCAAAACTAAGACTGACATCCTCACGTCGCTACCGGCGATACTTTTATTGTTACACGTTTTTTTGCCTTCAAAAATGTACTTTAGTTTGAGTGACCTGTGATAGCGGTCGAATGAAAGTGTTACCTGCTATACAATGCGTCCAATCATTCATATTAATTTGTATATTGATAATATAATTGTTAGGTTGTATTCGCACTTGTGAACTCGCTTTTGATTTTTGACTTTTGATATGTGAACAATATCAGCCGCTTCTGTACATACAATGTAAGTATAGTTAGTAGGTTCTTTTTATACGTTACATGTGTATTTATGGCATGTTGCAAGAGCCAAGTATCTGACTGGCACTTCGTAATATACCAAAAAATACGGGTTCGATTCTGCTAAAAACAATTTTCATATTGACTAAGAAGACCGAGCTATGAACATAACATCGATGCCGGACCCTAGAGCAAAAAGTAAAGAAATCTCTCATGGATGCAAAGGAAAAGTCGTAAAATATAAAGTACTAGCGACTCACCCTCGGCTCCGCTTGTGTACGTCCCTATTTACGTTTTGACTTTTAACGTTTAATATAGATTTCTCATAGATGAGATATTGCCCCGCAGTAAAAAGTATCCTATATGTTGACCCGGATAAGCAGCTAAAAACATACCAAATTTCATCAAAATCCCTTTAAATGTTTTTCCGTGATGCGGTCACAGTCAGACAGGCAGACAAAAATTCTAAAAACTATAGATTCGGCCTCTGTTTCGATAATAATGTCTATCTCAATAAGATTTTCCAAAAAATATTTACTTAAGTTACAATTTTATTATATGAATAGATTAGATTAGCTTTATTAGAAAATATTGTATATACACGAGTATTTATTGTTTTAATCTAATAGTTTATAAACATGTGCAACATGGAAAGATTGGGCTGGAAAAGTCATATACATATTGTTTACAAATATTATTTCTTAAAATCACAAAAATTACCAATAAAATATCTCGTAGTAATGTAAAGTTAAAAATACATAATTCAGAGAATGAACAACAAATTTCTTATCAGATTATATACAGAAGTCATAAATAATGATCTCATGACGTCCGTCATAATACAATAACGATAATGAGGCCCCCTGGCTATTTGTTCTACATACAATTTGGGCCCTTAGCCCTTCACCTATCACGTTTTGTTGTTGGTAGTTGCTACACCGTATAATGATAGGTTGTTAGCGTTTTGTAATATCTATTGCTTTTTTCTGAGGTTACTGTAGAGGTACCTATCTATAAGTTTCCTGGCGTTTCGAATGCTTTACAGCAATCATGGTCACGGGAAACATGATTGCTGTAAAGCATTCGAAACGTCGGGAACCAAAAATCAAAATAAACCCCCAAAAAATCATAAAAAGATTTTTTTAATTAAAATTACAAATATTTTATAGGAAAATAGTTATGTAAGTATGTATTTGTTTTTTTTTATATATATTCTTTTACTTGCATAGCAAATACGTTGATGAAAAGTAATCTGTTTAAGCTAATGCCAATCTGAATTTCTTTCAAATACGTAATATATAAGAAGTAACTTAAATATTTAATTATTGTCATTGTTTTTTGACGACGAACGGTTTGTTCAAGAGCAGTCTCATATACTAGAGGCTAGTGATCTGTGCTAAAGGGCATATATCGAATCGATTCTTTTTAGTGGTTAATTTAGATTTTCTTTTAATCTGATTTTAATTTGAAAATAAATCTAACATATCTTTATTTGAAGGTAATTAAAATATCCTCGTAATACTGGTCTCATTTTAAAACTTAACACTTAATGTTAAGCAACATTTAGCCAAGTAAAATTTTTATTAATATAAACCACTTTCAAACTATTAATATGTTTCTTTATAAATCTCAAATTAATTCATTAAGTCACACAATGCATTTAAAGCCGCTGAGTTTAGAATGGCGAAATTTTCAAGAGTTTCGCCAAGTAACGATTTATTAATTTTCACTCCCTGGACCAACCCGTTTATTTATCTATACATCTATACATAAAAATAAATAAAATTAGTTTGTCTGCTTATAATGTCAAAATAACAGCTTTTTACTATATGCAATATGAAAGTATATATTGCGATACATGTAAGATAATTTTTTTTATTTTTGTCTGTCCGTCTGTTTGTTCCGGCTAATCTCTGAAATGGCTGTACCGATTTTGACGGGACCTTTACTGGTAAATATTTGATGTCATATAGAGTAACTTAGTACTAACTACTTTTATTTTCGAAAAGGAACAAAATTATTAACAATTATTAAAACCCATGAAATAATGATTATTATTATTAATTATTAAAACCCATAAAAACGAAGCGAGGATAAGTTTCTAGTTATTAATATAACGTCAATATATTTATCAATTTGTGATAAATAAATTCATATATAACCAAATAGATTTGAAGAAATCAATACCTAGAGGCAGAGAAATGAGCTCCGAGAAGTGATCGAAATCAAACCCGACAAACAAATATATAGTAATTAGTCTGTAACATTCCTTAAATTACATGTGCTTAAGTAAGTATTACAACTAGTATAGTATTATATGATCTGTGGCGTTACAATAAATCTTTTTGTAATCTTTGAACGTTGAAATGAAAAGTCGTCGAACGTTAAAATCGTTATTTCTTTATTGAATCCGATTGTTTAATTAATTTAAGGGACATAATGGGACATAATATACCCAAATTTTAGATTTTTGTTGCTCTATAGGTACTTAAATCTATATTTTACAAAAATTATTAGATATGTCACGATAAGAACTGCTACTCAATACATTAAATTAAATATTATCCACCTCTTTTCCGTTAGCCGTTAAAATAACACTTGCGTCAATCCAATCTAAATAAAGGGCGTGCTTTTTAGAGCGGAACACGTTAAAGCAGATTAAAAGCTAAAAAGTATAATGATGCGTTCGTATTTAATGGAAAACTTTTTACGCATTAATCAAGATAAGAGTAATTAACCCACTTAAAAGCTTCTAGATTTTTTTATACATGCAATAATATATTTCATTATCGTTACTATTATTTTCAATTAAGCTGAAAAATTATGTAATAGATTATGTTGTGTTACATCAAATTGTATCTGGACAATTGTGACTCTGTCTATCAGTCTGTTGCCTTTTATGCTTAAATTTGAACGTATCGTCGATCATCGCTGTGCAGATTTTGATAAAATTTAGCAAGGACATATTATTTCACTTACTATCAAGTGAAACACAACAAATATACAGGAAGTATGTCAGAATTATATACGTACACATATATTTCTTTGTAGTCCTGTTCAAAAATATATTTAGGAATATTTCTATCAAAATAGTTTCTTTTATCCAGATACGAATGCTAACAAAAGCTCAAATAAAAATAAAACCAACACTGCGCCAATTTAATAAACAAAGTTCAAATTAAACAATCACTCTACTAAACTAACGTAACGAAATTATGCCAAACTTGCCACTAAAAATGGCTTCTCAAGAACGTTAGTAGAAGAAATGTGGGTATAAACAAGTTATGTGCTAACTTAGAACTTGTACGAGCAACGTTTAAACCTTATCAAATAGTTTTACATAACTTCGAAAGAGATAGACATTCTCTAATTATGATGTTCCTTTTCAAGCCCTTTGCCTGTAAACAGTGGTGATAGCTATAAGTTCTAACAATGTATGCTTAGATTTAGCATATATCCTATTGAGTCGTACTGTACTCCGTAAGTGAATCGTCTTCTCACTCTTGAATTTTCTTGTTAATGGCTTCAAAAGTACCAATAGGACACATTGATAATGTTCTCCCGAACGATTTCGGCCAAAGTGGCCAATATTACTGAGACAAGCCACATGCGCAGGAGATATTATAGTGCACAAGTCTACGCGCAGACACAAGTGCACTCTCTATTTCCTGTAATTCTCAAATTTCGATGGGACGATAATTCGACACGACCGGTGAGAGTTAAGGCACAGGATCGACGGCTTTACTTGGTCTCCGAGGAACGCTATTACTGGGACTTTCTTAACAGAAAACTCAATAACTAAACTGAAGCCGACCCGGGACTTGAACCCAAGACCTCCGGATGTGCAGATTCACATGCTAGCCACCATGGAGGCAGTTAAGAACAGAGCATAGATTAGTTCGGCAATGTCACGTAGAATGGAGAAGATATGAGAGGCGATTGAGAATCGACACCTAAATTAATATTTATTAATATTATATAATTATCTCTCAAAGAATAATTAAAGGATACTTTTTTTCTGGTCTTCCAAATACAAACCAATTAGTAAAACAGTAACCATACACTCACCCATACGTATTTGTAAGTTTTATTTTAACGCTGAATAGTGTTGGAGTACTACATTATCTTTTGAAGGGGATGCATTCGATTTCCGCCTTGTCAATACTTTAGGATTAGTACTTGTGTGTATGTAGGTTTGTGTATTTAAAATACTCGTAGGTATATATGATCAAAAATACAGTATTATATTTCATATTTTTTCATAGTTCAAAAGTGTTAAGTGCTAAGTTAGCCCAGTTTTAAAGTGTTCCTGAGCGAAAGTGAGATCTTATAATTATTATATATAAAACATTACAAAAATACACAATAATCATAAGATACTAGAAGTAATATACTTAAGCTCTCAATGTAACCCTTGACATTAAAAGTTCAACGTGATGAAGCTTAGAAATTGATATTATTTAAATATTTCATCCATTGAAATATACCCAATTTATCGTAACAATTTCACAATGTTACCGGCTTATTATAATTAAGTAATCAAAACTCGCAAAATTAGAATCTGAAACTCTGTAATTAAATGATAGTCAACCCTTTTCACACTTAGTTTAGCTACGTGTAAATAAATGAGTGGAACTTTTGCCTTTGCAATGTCAATAAAAATCAATTAAAAGCGTTCTTTGTTGCAAGATTTATGTATATTATAGTACCTGGGAGACCGAGCTTTGCTCGACGTTTATCGGTAAAGATATAAAATTTGCATAAAGACACCTATATAGATGAACTTATAATGCAAAACCTTATCTAAATCCTCTGATGCAAATCATTTCAGAACTGTATTTTCGGATTTTTTCGCGGATTTATTTTTATTTTTGGTTTCCGATGTTTCGAATGCTTTACAGGAATCATGGTCACGGGAGAGATCACGAAAGACTCTGCACGGGAGAGGCCACGACAAAAATTGCTCGTTTATTATAATTATAAGATACTATAGACTTACCCGCGCTTCCCTCAGATGCGTCCCCAGAGATGAATAGTGTAATTAGTTAAGAGGACATGAATATTCTCGAAATATTATACTCGGAAGACTATGGATGTTCTCGGACGTACACAAAATAACTATTAAAGTTTCATCAAAATCGCATCAATCATTTAGAAGCGCATAGAGGACAAAAATACAAAGAAGCATTAGAAGCATTCATTTTTAACCGAGTTCCAAAAAGGACGAGGTTGTATGTTTGTCTATATGTTTTTTTTATGTATGTTCACCGATTTCTCGGAGACGGCTTTACCGATCTTGCTATTTTAAACGGTATTGTATTAAGTTAGGTCCCGAGGGGGACCCCATTAATTTTCTTTGACATCGAGTATATCATTTCGAGAAAATTCTAGCCCATTGACTCAGATTTGAAAATTAACATTAATAAAGCTACAATATCAATTGATTTACATTTATCATAAAAGGGACCCGCTGGGAAATAATAGAAAGCGTTTAACGTTCTCGTCATTTGATCAAAGGTTCGAAATGATTGAGGCAAATTAAAGGGTTTCATGTAATTTGTCATCAAATTTAAACTTTGATCTATCAAATATTCAAAACGTTTATACAGACAGCTATCAGTTGTCTGTATTTGATAGAAAGCCTAGTTTCTGCTATTCGGTTAGGTTGCAATGATTCATATAATATTACTATGGATTAGTAGATACAAAAGTGTTATAATTGGGAAAATTTTAGAAAAAGTGGAAACTTCGTATGGCACATAATATTATACGGTATGTACTATGTACGTATTTTATGTATTTAACTAAAAAATATTGTATTATCTTATTGTTTCAGATTAACAGTACCTGGACAACAGACTCATATACAGTTACCAAGTGACAAAGAAGATGAAGAAGACACAGGCACCAGGTTTAGGAGAACAGGTTCTGAAAGGCTACGTGATGGAGCAAAGGCTTTATTACGAAGAGTGGAATCCCTAAAAACAAGAAGAAGAAAACGGCAAAATCGAACAGAAGTTATCGTCTCTTCTCCACATTTTTTAGATGTCCAGCAAGATAAATACCCTGATTTAAATTATATTGATATGACTCCAACATCACCTACAGCGTTTCCTTTTCCTGATTTCCATAGTTCTCCCCTCCATGCACCAGCTATCCGAACCCAGCCCCCATCCCCAATGACAATTATGCCCCCGTCTCCTATCGCACCCCTTGAACAATCCTTTGTTTTACATGCACCTTTCGGAGATGACAGCTCAAGTTATGCGTCAGATGGCAGTATGGGCTCAAGCAATAAAAGTACTAAGTCAAAATTAGGCAGAGCCAAAAGGATCTTCCATAGAGGCTTAAAAAGTGATGATTCGAGTGCATTGAGTGACTCTGAATGTCAGCCAGCAAGTTGGAGACATAATTATTATAAAGAGCATAATACTCATCATAATACTGAGGTAATTAAATACGTATGTTTGTTCTATCTTTTTCTTTGGACATTTGTATATATATATATATATATATATATATATATATATATATATATATATATATATATGATGTTCTCCTAGCCGATTCCGGCCACGGCGGCCAATCTTAATGTGATAAGCCAACTGCGCAGGAGATATTATAGTGCTCAAGTGTACGCGCAGACACAAGTGCACTCTCTATTCCTATCACTCTCATACTCCGGTGGGACGACCACTCGACACGACCGGTGAGAGTTAAGGCGCAGGACCGACGGCTTTACGTGCTCTCCGAGGCACGGGGGTGAAACACCGCCAACTTCCCAACTCCGGGCTGTTACTGAGACTTACTATACAGGAAGACTCAATAACTAAACTTGGCCCGACCCGGGACTCGAACCCAGGACCTCCGGGTGTGCAGCCGTACATGCTAGCCACTACACCACCGAGGCAGTTATATATATATATATATATATATATATATATATATATATAATACTTTCTTAGATTTACGCGAATGTTTGACATTATTAAATAAAACTATCTTTTCGGATTATTTCGCGGATTTATTTTGATTTTTGGTTCCCGACGTTTCGAATGCTTTACAGCATCCATGGTCACGGGAGAGACTGAGGTGTTACATGTCTTAAAGATATAGTTGTTACAGACAGCCTACCCACAATTAACAAAATGAAAATTGCACCAATTACATTACAATATTTTTAACTTTAAACATTTTTTTATAATTTTAATTATAATTGAATATGGAAAAATTATTTATTTAATTTTTGCTATTATTTTTATAATTATTACAATTTTAAAAATATTAATTAGTAATCTATATTTAGTGTTGCCATTATTATATTTATAACCATAAATAAAAATATAAAAATATAGTATTAATTATTAAAGCCATATAATTGTTCTATGTGTAATTTAAAAAAAAAAAAAAAAAGTTAAAATTAATTACGGATAATCATTTTAATTTAGTTTGCTATTATTTAAAAACAACTTACTAAGCAACACTATTAAAATATACTTTTACAAATGAAATTTATCAGATTAATATTTTTCATTTGTAAAAGTATATTTTAATAGTGTTGCTTAGTAAGTTGTTTTTAAATAATAGCAAACTAAATTAAAATGATTATCCGTAATTAATTTTAACTTTTTTTTTTTTTTTTAAATTACACATAGAACAATTATATGGCTTTAATAATTAATACTATATTTTTATATTTTTATTTATGGTTATAAATATAATAATGGCAACACTAAATATAGATTACTAATTAATATTTTTAAAATTGTAATAATTATAAAAATAATAGCAAAAATTAAATAAATAATTTTTCCATATTCAATTATAATTAAAATTATAAAAAAAATGTTTAAAGTTAAAAATATTGTAATGTAATTGGTGCAATTTTCATTTTGTTAATTGTGGGTAGGCTGTCTGTAACAACTATATCTTTAAGACATGTAACACCTCAGTCTCTCCCGTGACCATGGATGCTGTAAAGCATTCGAAACGTCGGGAACCAAAAATCAAAATAAATCCGCGAAATAATCCGAAAAGATAGTTTTATTTATATATATATATATTTAAAACATATTAGATATTTTATATGCGAGATGAAAATCACTGTGAGCGAATAACACACCCAGTGTTGTGTGGTACACCTGTAGTTAAATGAGATTAGAGATTATTTTGTATAATTAAATTAGTATTTAATTATTTCTAAAGGCGGCCGTTTAGAATTGGGGACTTGGCCCCTAGCGGAGTGGGTGGTATTTCTGGATAAGGGACGTGATAGGGAGTCGAAATGTTAAATAAAAATTGTCCGCGAACGTATGAGTAAAAAGTTATTGAGACTTAAAGTTACAACATTTCCATACATTATTTTGACATTACTACCATTTAGACACTTGGAGTCAAAACGTCACTTTCAATTGTCAAAATGATCTCCAGATGATTGTCTTTATTTGTACTTTGCGTGAAATTCAAATTTTCTAGTTTTCTAGTCATTTATGGCACTCGCCGGCCGCTACCGCGGCACGCTCGCTTCGCTCGCTCGGCTCGTGCGTTGTGGCAACTGTTCTAACCTAACCTAACCCAGATATGAAGAATAATAAATAAATAATCTTAAATGTTCTAACCTAACCTAACCCAGATATGAGGAATAATAAATAAATAATCTTAAATGTTCTAACCTAACCTAACCAAGATATGACGAATAATAAATAAATAACCTATGTCTTAAACTAACCACGATGTCGCAAAATAAAAACCAAAAGTAAATAATACATTTAGATTTTAAAAATAGTCTACTCACGTTTGTAAATTGTTTACACTAACACTATGAACACTTAAAACTATAAAAATAATATTAAAACAAAAACAAGAAACGAAAGTATATAAAAATTAACAAAAACTAATAACTAATGGAAAATATACAGAGTACAGAGTCACAAATTATGAAACTTCGCGGTATTTTAAGAACACCCGCCAATAATACTGAAAAATATTCACAGATAAAAAAATGTTTTTTTTTTTACTAAATGTACAATTGTAAAACAATATATTTTACATAAATCAGATAAAAAATCATAAATGTATTTATGAAATGAAAATAATATTTTTCTTTTTATTTATTTATTTATTAATATTAATATTTTACCAACAGAAAAAGCAAAAATAATCAAATATAATCTGTTGTCATTTAAGCGGTAATATAAAACAAAGTGTCAGTTTTGCTTTTGTCAAAATGTAAGATCGTTTTGTTTGTGTTGTGAAATTATTAAAATATTAAATACAATAAAGCATTAATTGTTGTGAAAATGTGTAATGTACATAAAAAAGGATGCGTACTATTCGTTAAAGGTATGTTTATCTGTTGTAATCACTTATTTAGGTAAAGAAATGTATGGAAATGTGTTAGATATGTTATAACTTTAAGTCTCAATAACTTTTTACTCGTACGTTTCCTCCAAATATTTTTAATATATTTTGACTCTCTGTCACCTCCCTATCTAAAAATACCACCCACTCCGACTGGTGGTAAAGAAATATATGAAAATGTATGGAAATGTTGTAACTTTAAGTCTCAATAACTTTTTACTCATACGTTCGCGGACAATTTTTATTTAACATTTCGACTCCCTATCACGTCCCTTATCCAGAAATACCACCCACTCCGCTAGGGGCCAAGTCCCCAATTCTGAATTTGTGCCTTTCTAAATATTACAATGTATTTTAGGTATACGTTGAGCCGACGCCAACTATAGAATTGAAGGCTGATCCAGAAGTATTAAGGGAAGTCCAGAAATCTCCCGGACATACGCCGCACAGACGACAAGCTATCAGAACGAGTTCGTTGAATTTGGGGAAGGAGGGAAAGTAAGTTATATACATAAATGTGTATATTGAGTTATTGACAGTATTAAAAACTTTAATTATATGTAAAGATAAGTCACAAAAACGCAAATACATCATCAATTATTTTTTTTAATATGTTAACATAATTAAAAATTCTTGACAAGATTTTATCTTCTATCTTCATCAATAATAATGTATGCAAAATTTGGTCCCTTTTACGAGCAGCTATTAAGAAGGAATCAATATGCGTCGTCACAACCTATTAGCTAAATTACATTTGCGATGTGTAAAATAACGTTGACTCAGTGCGACGTGCACACACTGGCAATCTAATTTCAGTAGCGTTTGTGACCGTAGTTTCCTTAACTTATTTAGTGATAGTTACAGTCAATGGGAGGGATCAAAGGACTTGGGGTGTACATATGTACGTACGAGTATATACTTCGTTGCTATATATTTATTGGGCTTAACCTGGGTGTATATTTCTCTTTACGACCGAGGCCTTTTAATAGCTAGCTGTTATTTTGGCAGGATCTATAGTATTCTATTTTCTTCAAATAACTGAATTTGGTAGGCCAAATAATCAAATTATTTGCTATTTTTTGTTTGTATAGTCTTTTAATAATAAACATGGCCCACATTTTATATAAAAGTATACATACTACATTTTAATTGTAAATGTTTTTCTTTTTGTAGCTATTTTACGCTCAAACTATTCAAGACATTTCGATTTTAATGATATCAACTGCAATGTTTGTCCAAAATATTTATTAAACGCAGCATTTTCACAATCCAAAACAAAGTTATGAACCTGCTACAAAGTTATTTATTACATTTATCGCTGACTTTACTTTAATCGTTACAGTCTGCTCTAACTTAGGCAATAAACTAGACGTAGCAGGTGTTATTTCCTCTCGAGACAAATATACAGATGTTTGACTTCGTCTTACTGTAAAAGAATAATAGCTTAAAGTTAACATCGAAATCTTATCACTGAATAATAAAATTTATGTTAATTTCTCTAATGGTTTATTACTTAATACTAATATAAAATAACACTGAAACGCCATTTAACATACAATTAAATAACAAATTATTATTTTACCATAAAAATAATAACATTTGAGTTTGAACAGAAATTGGTAAACCACTAAGAAAGTTAAACAAGCAAATAAATCAAATGAAGCTAGTAGCGCCATTTTGAAAGCGATTACCGCAGACTAATTGCCTCTGACCAGACCATTACTAAACGAGTGTTTCTGTTACACACAATGAGAGGTATAACTTATTCGTATGCTAATGCAGGAGAGAACTAATGTTCCAAGTTTATTCTGCCATGAATCATAAGAGGCAGTGAACTTGGGATAGTGTGGTAGGGAAATATTATTAGGTACACTATTGGCAAAGGAAAGTATATAATAAATATAAATTACTAGCGTCTTACCCTGCCCTGTCTTGTTGGATGCCTTTTGTATTTATTTTTTGGTTAATTACCAACTTCCAAAAAGGACGAGGTTCTCAATTCGTCGGAATATTTGTGTATGTATGTTCACCGATTACTCGAAGACGCCTGAACCGATTTGTAATTTTTTATATATGGTATGGTATACTTCCCAGATGGTCCCATTTAAATTTTATCGAAATCACGGTTTTAACGAAATTTCGTGTAAAAAAATCAACAATAAATATTGTTTTAAATAAATTGCTTAATCGAAAATGTTATTTAAAAACTTTCTTGTTACAAATTACCTGCTTATTACGTCTACACTAAAAATGAAAAAATAAAAACTTAAAAAAACCGACTTCCAGGCACTTATATGTAAAAAATAACTAAAGGGGGGGTTTTCATTTTATTCATTTATAATAGATGCCTAATCAGATATTTTCGAAGTCGGTGCCAGCCGATGCAAAGCAAATGTTATATATGTACCTATTTCGATACGTAAAATACATCACAAATTGTAGTAGTGTAAAATAATATATAAAAAAATATACAAAAGTAGTAACTCTTGTTTAAAATATAAAGATTAATTCATAAAAAAATTTTTCCTAGGTTTCGAGACAGAAGTCTTAAAAGAGACAAATCGGCGTCGAGAAGTTCCGAACTGGATAGCAGCCCAAATTCGGCAGGATCGAGGTCACAAGACGGTGACCAAGATGACGATGACGACAGCCTTGACATGAAAACAAAAAAGTAAGTGAATTACAAATATATATATATTGGAATTAAAATAATTAAAGAAATATAAAGTTACTTCATTTAAAACATACGATTCATTATGTTATAAGACACGTTTAGATCAGTTTGTAGTGACCCCGATCGCGGGTTCGAGTCCCGCTGGGGGGCATTCATTTGTGTGATGAGCACGAATGTTTGTACTGTCCATTCATGGGTACTTATATTTATAATATATAATATGTGTTTAAAGTTATAAATGTGTAGTGTATCAACTATCTGATATCCATAACACAGGCCTCGTATCTTACCATGGAACCAGATGGTGTTGTGTGTTAATAATATATATGTTAATAATAATAATGGCTCAACATATTTATTTATAAATCAAACTACTATTATAAATATAAAAGCTTGTGTGTATATGTGTGTATGATTGTTTCTCACGCTAAACACCTAACTGGCTAAAATGGTTGAACACATTTGGATGAAATTTAGTATACAATTAGACTATGACCTGGACTTGGAGTAACATATAGTCTATAGACCACTTTGAGGCTTCTAGGAAGGGCTCCAGTGTAGTGAGTGTAAATCGCTAGTATTGTATAAACTTTATGAAAATATTAATAACTAGCAACTCACCCTCGCTTGGGTTATTTTTTGATTCCCTTAAGAAATGATTTCCGGAATAAAATGTTCTTCCCAGGGTCTCAAACTATCCTTTAACCAAATTTCATCGAAATCGATTCAGTAGATCTAGAGACTACCCCCTACAACGTCACAAACTCACAAACTTTACCTCTTTATAATATTAGTATAGATATAGTGTTCATCCAGTGGTCGAAATTCAACCATCAATCGTTATTCAAAATTTGAGAAAAAAAAATAGAATTTACCTATCTATATAAAAATATCTGTTTCCAAAAATGTTCATTGGCAAAAAAAAGAAAATTGGTTAGCAAAGAGAGGAGAAAAAGGTACTGCTGTTTTCTCTTTGCCTATTTATATTCACACAGATGTATACTGCACTATGTACTACTATAATTAGTTAAAAAAAAATATTCTCATTTCTCACTATGCTAATTTTCTTTTAATCGCTTATTTGAATGAAATATTTCGTCCTATAAATAAACAAATAAATAAATAAATATGTTGGAACATTAACACACAGCACCATCTAGTTCCACGGTAAGCTACGAGGCTTGTGTTATGGATACCAGATAGTTGATACACTACACATATATAAACTTTAAATACATACATAATATTCATATAAACACCCATGACTGGAGTACAAGCATTCGTGCTCATCACACAATGAATGCCCCCAGCGGGACTCGAACCCGCGAACGCTGACACAGCATGTAGGGTCACTACACACTGAGCCAAACGTGTCGCCATAAATCTATTAATAATACGAGTAATTTAAGACTGTTCTACAATTATGAAATATTTTAACCTCCGATGCAAAAAGGAGGGTGTTATAAGTTTTACGTCGATGTCTGTGTGTGTGTATCTGTCTGTGGCATTGTAGCTCTCAAACGGATGGACCGATTTCGATGCGGTTTTTCTTTCATTTAAAAGCCAGTTTCCTTGCGGTGGTTCTTAGCTATGTTTGGTTGATATCGGCCGGCAGTTCTTTTCCAAAATGATGTAAGGCATTTTGGCGTATGATTACTCGATTAAGTGCTTCACGCGTGCCAGTGTAATCGTTAAAAGACAATTAATTTGCGTAGGGGTTTTTAAAATTTTTAATTTATAATTATAGTTATTCTTTTGTATTTCTAGTAGAATGTTAATTTGATATTTGTTTCAGAAACAATATACAGAGATGGTATTCGTTTAGGACCAATGCACTTAACGGTGGACCCAAAGCCAACAACACTTTGCAGCCCGCGCCAAATCAGAAAAACCCCGAGACTTACCGTAAGTAACATCTGTAGCTTATTAAACATTTAAAGAGTCATCTTATTGCTACAAGAATGAATCCTTTTAAAAATATTATGTGATGAATTCTATCTACTCCTCTATCCAACCGTGAAAATCCCCTTAAAATCGTGTTAGCTGTTCGGAAAATAAACGGCTACAAATACACACATACATATTTTAATGTTTAGTCAAGGACGTGCAGTGTGCAATGAATTAAGTTGATTGTCTATACAGATAAATAAAATTAAAGTGTCTGTTTGTAATGTCAAAATAACAGATTTTTACTAGATGTATATGAAATTATACACGGTCGGTACTTATCAGAAAAACTCAATTTTCAAAATTTTTGTCTATCTCGCTGTCTGTTTGTTCCGGCTAATCTCCAAAATGACTTTGATGGGACTTTCACTGGCAGAGAGCTGATGGTATAAGAAGTAACTTAGTATTAATTTAGTAACTTACTTTTATTTTAGAAATAAAATTAGGGTTCCTATCAAAAAATTAAAACGTGCGTTGGGACACACCCGAGCGAAGTGAGGGTAAATCACTAGGTAAAAATAATATTATTTACGTCAGTAAAAGTTTAAATAAATGAACTTCAGATATAAAAATTACCATGAAAACAAAATTAAATACATATGTAGTTCATAATAAATTCACATTTAAATACGTGTTCTACATATCTAGTCGTAACTAAGAGATGAAAGGGTTCACGTATATATTATATACTGTAGGTACATCCTTCCATAGATAGGTGTGTCTTCTTTGCAAGGGACAGGACAGATAAACTAATAAAGCCTTGTTTTAATACCATTCGGTATTCCTCTAAAGGTTTACTTAACCAACTTAGGCAATTCTTAGTTGTTTTAAAATATTAAACATTATCTTTGTATGAAATGTTCTGGCGTTCTCGAATTATGGGTACACAAACATACATAGCCAATCTAAAAACGATTAATTGATCTATTGTAAGTTGGCGTTCTTCGGGGGAGGCTTTCATCTAGCAGTAGACGGCGATAAGTTGAAAAAGAAAGAAAAATAAGTTATTTTTATTTGTTGGAGGAGTGTTGGTATTGTAATTAAGCAAAAATTTCCAAAATATTTATTACGTAATCATAAACTAATCATGATAATAATATAATATGGTGGGCAGTGATTTTAATCAATAATAAGTGTTATGAAATATTTATTTTACAGTTTCCCGTCCAATGTCTTCCTTGTCATGCGGCCAATTACATATACTTAGAAAACTAGCGCTGTTAAGGTTAACTGCTTGTATGGAACGATACTGTCCATCACACAAATCTGGCTGGAACTGGGAGCTGCCTAAACTCATTAGAAAGATTAAAACGCCTGATTACAAAGGTAAGGCAATATATGTCGCCTCATAAGCTAACATAAAGTTGGTATCCCGTTATCCCTGACAACTATCCGAGACCCGTCCCGTTATCCCTGACCATTATCCGTGACTATGGTAAACTTTCATTTTATCTATAACTTAGAAGCTTAAAATAATTCTAAAATAACGATAAACACTACGATGTCGAGATTTCGAAACAACGATGTGCATCAAAAACGCTTAACAATTTATTTCGATTATATTTATTTAATTGTCCTACTAAGTATTGCTTATATTTGAGACTTTCTATTTTTTTGGCAGATAAAACAGTTTTTGGCGTACCACTGACGGTGTCATTGCAGCGTACCGGCCATTCTTTACCCAAACCAATACAATGTGCTCTAAATTGGTTGAAAAATAACGCCTTGGATCAGGTATTATACATTTATAAGTTAAGCTATAAAATGTTATCATTAAGTATTCGGTATACAATTTCTTCATATGGCTACTTATAATGGTATTTGAAAGATTTTTTCAATGATATCTGTAAAGTATTTTGTGATTTGATCTAAAATGCGCTTTTTATAAGGCAACCTTGACAGTTAAAAATATAATTTATAATATTAATTTTACCTCTTTTCATAATATTAATACACAACAAACTAGTTTTCGCCTACAGCTTTGCGTGTGGTGTATATCAGTTTAAAAAAAATTAGATATAGGATAATATAACTTAAAATTTGAAAATACGCGCCTTTTCAGTGGTATTAAAGACTAGATATATATATATTTTTTTATATTTTTGTAATGAAAACTTAAAAAGCAAGTGATAACCATTAAAAAATATTTCAGATGGGTATATTCAGAAAAGCAGGCGTGAAGTCTCGGACGGCCAAACTTCGTACTATAGTGGAATCAGCAGGGGCGGTAAACGCGGCCTTTGCTATAGAAAACATGAATACAATAGAGCCTAAGCAATCTAGCTTGAATTTTGAAGGTGCGCAGGCGCATGACGTCGCAGACATGGTCAAGCAATACTTTAGAGAACTTCCCGATGCATTACTCACTAATAAACTTAGTGAAACCTTCATCGCTATATTTCAACGTAAGTAAACACCCTGTTTGTGGTAAAATATATTTTCGTTTTTTTTTATGCAGGGAATACTAATTTAGTTTGTCCAATGTAAAGTTAATATTATAAAATCTGTTAAAAATACGAAAGCGTGTATGTTGGTTTGTCCTTTTTTCATGCAGCAATGGTTCTACGTGATTTTGTATATAGCTTATCCGGCGAATAATATACACAATATTTAAACAAATTGTGTTTATTCTTAATAAGTATCGTATGTTTTATTGTTATAACGGACATTAAAAGAAGGAGGTACTTAATGATTCGTATTTTTTTAATGATTTTTTTTTAGTGAATAAGTTTTAAATGAAATGAAATGAAATTTTATTCAATTAGACTTATTACAAGCACTTTTGAATCTTTAATTTAAAGCGCCTTAACGTATTCAGTCCGGCTCGACCACCTGCTCGGAAAACAGAAATGATTTTTAAAGCCGGCGTCGTACCTTTTTAGTTAATTATTAAATATCTTAACTTCCATTTATTATGAAAATTACAGATGTACCTGAGCCTCTAAGACCGGACGCGGTGCAGTGCGCTCTATTACTTCTGCCTGAAGAACATTTGGAAGCTTTGCAATCTTTATTGATATTCCTTGGGGAGGTTAGTAATAATTATATTTACGCATATAAATAGTTAACATATATATTTAATTTTATAATTGTAAGTATTCAGACCTTTTTAATGTCCCATTTCTGGGTATCTCTTCAATACAAGGGAGCTCAGGCCATTGTCCACCACGCTGGCCAAGTGCAGGTTAAAATTTTTAAGTTTTTTCTACTATTTTAAAAGCTGTTCAATTAACTAATGAGATAACAGCACATCTAATTATCATACGTACTTAAAAAAAATAGTGTACACAATTTTTTATTTAAGTTTTAAAAAAGGTTTTTTTATTTTTACTTGTATAAAATCAAACGTAACGTTAGTTTTGAATTATGTAAATTTCATTCTTATTAAAATGTAAATAGCATATCAAAATGCTGTATGCAACATGACTTGACCTTGATCACAGCAATTTGGATGTTAACTCGCCTACTTTGGAATTCTTTATTTGAATGTATAAAAAGCTTTAGAAAAGCTTGGTTAATTCAATATAACAAAGTATATTTTTTAAGGATGACAGTTTTAATTTCCGCAAGGAAAATTATTTTTTAAATGTAAATGAACTTGAACGTCAATCTTTTAAAAGTGCGAAAGGAAAGAAAAAATTCTAAATCTTATATCTATTTCCTTCTATAAAATGAATTGGCAAAAATTAGATTTATCTTGAGATCTTCTCTTTCGAGCATTTTATTTTTCGAATTTTTATACAGCATGATATAGAAATATGACATAAGCTTCTGTCTCTACTCGATTAAATCAATCGTCTATCTCTGATACCCCAAACAATCGAATAATTGGTTATTAGTGTTGGATTCTGAGCGAATTCTTCTATGACCATAAAACATGGTTAAACGTTAAAATAAAACTTCTATCATCTTTAACTAATATCGTTATCCATGTATTTTAAATAATTGTATGTTTTATATATATATTGTGCCTTTTTTAAATTATTTCCTTATTATCTTGCACTTTTCTGCTCCGCTAAGTTGTCACTTAACTTTATCACCTTCTTTTGTTGACTGGAAGAGATCTCTGGTAGAAATAAGTCCACCTATGTCCTCAATTTTCTCTTAATTCAGTTTAATTTGTATGTGCAATAAAGCATATATAATAAACTGTAATACATACATAGTAATACATATGACTCATATTCAAAAAAAAACTAATTTACAGGTTGCAGAGCATTCAGCTGTGAATCAAATGACGGCATCTAATTTAGCGGTTTGTTTCGCGCCCACACTTCTAAGGCTACACCACGCGCCCCCACATACTGGTAGCACTAAAGAAGGCAACTCTAATAGGTACGAAAGTCATTGTATCTATAAAATATGGAAATATGTATGGTATAAAAAAGTGAAGCAGAACATTTGCTAAACAATTTTTCAAATGTGGTGTTGTCTCAAAATAAAATAAAAACTAGTATTATCAATGTATACGAAGATCCGGTAAACTTACAACCGACAAAAAAACCGGCTATACGTATAATATCCTCTTTTTTGGAAGTCGGTTAAAAACGGAAGATCTATTATTTTTCCGGTTTTTGTTTTTACTCGATATTTTTCAGACAATACACGGCTATTTTTTTTATTTAATTGGACTTTATAGTGTCAATATTAAAAAAAGGTTATCTTTTCCACAAAAACACGTATTTGTATTATTTTGTATCAAACAACGTTTGATTATGTATTTTAATATTATGTATAATTATCTGTGTACTTCAGGACGATAATTGAGAGCGTAGCAGACCAGCGACAGATAAGCGAGTCGCGCGCGGCGCACGCGTGTCTACTGCTGCTCATACAGCAACACCGCCAGCTGTTCCTGGCGCCCGCGGACATGCTCGCGCGCTGCAAGTTCAACTACTTCGAGGAGAGTGTGCCGGTGTGTGTCTGTCCTTGTCTAGCCTAGCCCTTTTCATCATCCCACTGTTGAGTATGTGACTCCCTTCATCAGTTTCTCTCTCTCTCAGACTTCATTTTAAGTCGTCTAAAAACTTACTACATTCTTCCAGAAAACACATTTCCTCACGATTTTTCCTTCAACGTTATGCAAGTGTTTTGTTATGCGAGTAGGAGATGAAATGAAATGTATTATTTACAACATGATTAATGTTGAAAATGCTTCGCACTTGAGAATATCAGAGGTGCAAGGTCCGGGATTCGAATCTCACTTCACTTGGTTTCTCAAGCGAGTTTTTGACATCGCTAATTAGTGTTTTAAGTCTTTTTTTATTTATATTAAACGAAGTCATTCTCTTATTAAATTAGAAATAAAGAACATTAATTAAAAATATTAATTAAAGAAAATAATTGTATATTATTTTGAATATTCAGGTTGCACTTGAAGAGTTAGGAGCAGATTTTAATCAAGACTGGAAAGGTTTCCAACAAGCCTGCATTAAAGCTTTACTTAAAGAAGCCAAAGAAAAGTGAGTATGATTCATTTAAAATATTTTACAATTCTTATTTAAAAGAAGTTTTGCAGGAATCTACCTTCAAACTTTTCTCCATGTATTAGCATTTCTTATAGAATTTAACTTTTTCATGCCTTTTTAGAGTCTGTGGGCGGTCAGGAAAGAGGTGAGATATCGGTGTTAGCGTTTCACGGTCTTCTCATCTTCGATTTTATTTAATCTGTTCTTTACTGTATCTTTTTTTTATTTTGATATCTATCTGTTTAAATATTTGTATATAAAGAGTACAGGAAAGGAGGACCATCTCATACGGGTGTGAAACTGAAAAGTTGTCCAGCTCATAGTAGATTAGAGCTAGTATAGAAAGTGTTAGTACAGAAACTAGCAGTTATAGACTGATTGAAGTATACCGAGTTGACATTCTTATAATTTTTGGTGACTATATTAGCTAATGTATAAAAAAGGGTATACAAAATCTAAATGCTAATATGCTAATATAATGCTAATTGTAGTCAAAAATAAATTATAAGATAAAGAATCTTCTATATTAGAGTAAACTTTTTTAATTTCACTCTTACTTCGGTAGCGCCATCTTAATTTAATTGTTTTTGACGGACACTTTTTCATACACAGAGACGGTTCTCCCTGCCCTCTATATATTTGTGATATAATATTATAGAAGTTTCGAGTTAGCAATACATTATTGAACAGATTATTTATTAAATGATTTCACGTCACCACCATTGTAGATGTATTGGTGCCACTTAGATGCTTCGAGTAGCTCTTAGAGTTGATGTGGTTCAATTTAGAGCAAAAAAAAAGTTTTAAAGAATATTCTAGAAATAATTAGTAATACACTAAATTAAACTTAATGGAAATGAATAAACACATGATTGTTAAATAGGTTATTGAATGTTTAGCATGACGTAGTTTAAAATACAAACTTAAATAAATGAATAAATTAAACATACGTTTAGAGATAGATAATACAAAAGAACACACTCTTCAAGTACATTAACAATTCTCTCGTCAATCTTTAATATGCGATATGAATTATTGTAATCATTGTAAAATATTTTTACCGTGGAATACAAGATTTTAGTCTAGTTTGTGTTAATAACTAGAACACAAAACTGCAGTACTAAGTAAATGCTTTTGCATTGGAAGTAATAAGCGCATTTATCTACAACTAACAGACAAACCTTTACCTCCTATATAATAAAATGTGCATTTTCCACATATAATTAAACAAAACAACATCTAAACATCCAGTCAAAATTATCTTAATCTATACATTAATAAAATCCAAAATTGCAGGACACATGACTGTTTATAACTCTGTTGGTACTTTTACGCACATGGCTGTTTTTTGCATAACTTGGTCCAAATTATCACGAAGTTAAAGCACTATAGTGCCATTTATGTCAACCCTAAAACCATTTCCCATATAACAGTGGGATGCGCCTCAACCGTGTCTCATTCTGTCTTCGTCAATTCGTAAGACAGCTATATGGATTAATAGACTGTGTTTATGCTATAACCTAATAAAAAGTAACACTTCAATGTAATTCGAAATCATTTTTATATATATAATAATAAAGTCCAAAATCGCAGAACACGAGGCTGGATGTCAGTGTCGGGCGCGGCGCCACACGTAGAACTCTGCTGCAAGAAGGTGGGAGATGGACACCCGTTACGGCTGTGGCGCGCCACTACCGATATTGAGGCACCGCCACAGGAGGTTATGCAAAGGTATATAATCAAATTATTATTGGAAATGCGAATGTTTATGTGTGTATGTTTGTTTTACTCTGCTTTGCTGAAAAGTCTTGACGAATTTTGATAAAATTTAGTACATAGACCTATAGTAACATAAAGGCTACTGCTAGACACCAAGATCAATTTCCAAACTCAAGCAAAGTGTAATAAGTCCCTAGTATGTAATACTAAAAAAAATATCAAATTATTTTATTTAACTATACCATTAGCATGGAAAAAATAGCCGATTCCTTGTTCTGTGAAAAACAAAAACAAATCTATCGCATTTTTCCGAGATATAAAGTAACCTATGTGCTATTCCAGATTACAAATTGCCTCCGAATCCGTTCAGCCATTCCGGCGTAATATCAACAAACATACACAAACGTACAAACATCAATTCATCCAAATTTTCGCATTTATAATATTAATTGAATGAGAGTGTTATTTTTTTTATTTAGATATAATGTTTAATTACATTATTTTATGTACATACATAAAGCTTTTCAATAGAAATTATATACTACCATTACGATTCAACTTAAAATCAAGACAGATAGTTCCAAGGAGATGTGATTATATATAACAAACCATTTTGACATAAATTCTAGTGGATTTTTTCAGCATTTATTATATGCTTGTACAAAGATTTTTATAATTAAAAATAAAAATAAAAGAATATCCAAAAATTATCTTTTTTATTTTAGGATACTCCGAGAGCGACACATATGGGACGATTCGCTTGTGAAGTGGCGCGTGGCGGAGAAGCTCGGGCCCAATGCGGAGGTGTTTCAGTACATCACGGCTTCTAGCTTCAATTTGGCAACCAGAGATTATTGTGTGTTACGGTATGTAACCTTTTTATGACGACACGTTTGGCTCAGTTGGTAGTGACCCTACTTGACGTGCTAGCGGTCGCGGGTTCGAGTCCCGCTGGAGGCATTCATTTGTGTGATGAGCACGAATGTGTGTACTCCAGTCTATATTGTGTGTATTGGTGTTTATATTTATAATATGTATGTATTTAAAGTTATATAATTGTGTAGTGTATCAACTATCTGGTATCCATAACACAAGTCTCGTAGCTTACCATGGAACTAGATGGCGTTGTGTGTTAATGTCCCAACATTTATTTATTATTATTACTTTGTATTTAGATATTTCTAGTATATAATATGCTAGGCATGTATATTGAATAATAATAAATAATAGTAAAACGTATGTGTTATATCACATATCTAGTAAATACCAATAACATGGTCTAGAAAATGTCTAATAGCCTGAAAAATTCTTCCACGATCCTTGTAATACATTCTCAATGCTTACATATGTACCTATTATCTTTATGAGTTTTTTTTTAATAATGTTCTTCTGATCAAATTCAGCCAGGGCGGCTAATCTCACTGAATCTAGCCTCAAATTTCTTGGCTGAAAAACTCAATAACTAACCTTGACTCGTCTTGGGACTCGAACCCAGGACCTTTGAATCTGCAGCCGTAGATGTTACGTCAAACCACAGATCATATAATACTATACTAGTAAAACATATTTTAAACCACCAAGGCAGTTTTTTTTTCTTATTGCTAAGCAACATAAATGTATTTTTTTCCGACGTTTCCCAAATATCCGCAAAAAATCCGAAAAGATAGTTTTATTTAAAATGTCAAATATTTGTGTTTTAACAAAGTTTTATGTAAACATTTTTTTAGATCATGGCAACAAGGTGGCGGTAGCGGCGGCGGCGGCGGATGGTGCGCGGTCGCAGAGACGTCAGTCGCGCACGGCGCGCCGCCGGGGGAGGGCGCGCGCGGCGTCGTGCTCGCGTCGCGCTACCTCGCGCAGCCGGCGGGCAAGGGGCGCAGCAGATTGGTGCATTTGGCGCGTGTTGATACTATGTAAGATATCTGTTTTATTGTTACCTAGAGACTTACCCTTGCGCCACTCGAACGCATTCCTAGGAGCCTAAAGTAGTCTGTGTTACTCCAGGTCATAGTACATCTGTGCATAAAATTTAATGCAAATACATCCAGCCTATACGTAGCAAACGTACACACATACAAACTTTTACATTTATAATAGTAATCTGGTTATATAATATATTGTATTGTGACGGACTTGCCAATCCCTCCATTGGAGTTGAGACGTGAACACAATGAGTCTTATAGTACAAAAAATATATAAGCGCAGTCGTCTGTTCTTTCACTAATTACTCTGTGGTACTTGTACTACGAATGTATTAGTACCGAGAAATATTTATCTAAATATATGTTGAGGTATATATTTGTTCTTGCGGTAATATTCATGACTGCATAATGTTTTTGGAGACAGCTTCAACTGATCTTCTAAAATCTTCCTCATTACTTCTTTTAATACAATTATTTATTTATTTTTCAGGGGTAGAACACCAGAATGGTACAACAAATGCTACGGTCACATCTGTGCTTTGTACTTGGCGAGGATACGCGCCTCCTTCAAGCATAATACAGAAGGTCCGGAATCGAATGTATGATCCAAGCATTCCGCTTAAGTTCGCTCCACACTGGACCGGACTTAAGTTTGACTTTGACAATGACAGCGTAACGGCGTCGTATATTATCTGTGGATATTACTTAATACCTTTTATTCGCCGTATGGCAGCTTCTAATCTCAATAAAAGCAAAGCATAATTTTTTGATCAAATCTTATTAATGTAGAAATTTAAACCTACCTCCAATATTCGTTTTAATTTATAAGGTGCATCACTCCTGTTGATGTTCAAACGGCATCTTAAACGATAAAGCTACGGATATTAGCTTTGTCGTTTATTAATTAAATAAGCTGTCGTAACCTTGTAAAACCTTATTTTCCCATAAGGGACCTACCAAAAAGCCTGACTGCATTATGCATATTTAGTTTTTTAGGTTAGAAAATTATATTATACAAAATTCGTGATTATAATATATCCCCTCATGGTGCATTATGTGTATATTTAATATAAATTTAATTAAAACATCACATTTTTAAATATTAAAGTAATCTCATTAAATGTTTATCGCATTCGAAATGTTTTACCAAGCCCTATGTAAAGTTATCATAACATATCACTAGTCATATTAATATAATATTGAATGTTAAATTATAACACATTGTCAGTACCTGCCCTGTGTTCAGGAATATACTTAGTATTACCTACAATTTTTGAGAAGTTATCCATAATTATTCTGTAAAATAATCTATCTGTATTCGTATATATGCAATATTCGTGACCTACATTCCATAAATACGTTGTTGTAATAGCACTATTATAATAATCGATTCTAAATTTTCCATGCTTGTATATATTCTAACTGTGATGCCTTGAATTACATTGCAAATATCGGCACAGTAGGTAGTTAACATTTCTACCTAAACAGCAATTTTATGCCCAAATAATTCGATTTAATAATCCTTGTTTGTGTTTAATCTGTGGTTTCAGAGCAACACAGTTAGAATATTAATCAGTACCTACTCATTTGGTACGGTTACTATTATAACTCATACGTGAAAATTAATTGTATAGTTGTCATTTGACTCATTTAAAATAATTAGTGTATGGGTCGCGATATCTATGGTATTTGTTAAGATGGCGTCTAAAATATTATATTGTATACCCTATTAAATATAATAATCATAATTTGAAATATTCGTGTTTGTTAATGTTGTAATAAAGTTTTATTGTAAAAAGTCTGACTGTAAATAAATATAGAATAATTTAACCATCACAATTTTGAATGTTATTTATAAGCAATGTGGAGTGCTTTTTATACAGTTCTAAATGGTACATTTACCACATGTGTCACAGAATCATATTGTTGTCATCACTCATCGTGTTTATTTCACTTCAAAGACTAATACACTAAAATACATTATTAAGTGAAAACAGATTTATTAATTCCAAAAACATAATTATCGACTGATATAAAAAGTGTTCCATATATATTTTAAGTATTTCCAAGTATTGGAAAATAATATGGAGCCAAATATCACAATATTATTATTGTAAATAGGATAATGTTAAGAAATAAAATTGATATTTTAAAGTAATCTCAAGTAACATAATTTATGTGTTGTTAGTTACCTGTGGAATCACAATTTAATGATAATTTTGGTGCCGTTAAGGATAAGTGCAAAATATATTTAACTAAAATATATATAAATTTGGAAGACTTACGCTATGGATGTATGTAAATTGTATTTTCTTATATAATAAATAAAAACAATTTGGACATATTCATTCCATGTTTTGGCAGAATAAGTTATTACTCTTTGCACAATAACCATTGAAAAACGCTTGAAAATTATTTCTGTGAAGCGTCAGTCGTTACTATACTTACGTACTTTCAAATAAAAAAAGTTTGAAATTAGTCCAATACCAAATATTTCTGTCAAATTCAGACTAAGAAAATAATATAGATACCTGAAACTTAGTAAATCTATTAACACGCCATTACCTACATATGAACACACAAATTTTATTCTTTTAGTTTCTGTGGTATCAAAGGACTAAGTTTTATCGAATTGTTGTCCTTTAAAATGTTTTCTGAAAATAAATGATTTACACTTATACAGCCAATGAACTGGAAGTGTTAAAAGTATATTAGCAAAATACCAAGCTTTTTGTGCACATAAAATTCATAGGTAAGTTAGAGAAGGAATATTATTTATTCAGACCGAATAAAAATATTGTTATACTCGTGTTTTAAAATAATATGTCACTATATTATAACAGTTATGTGTATTAAGATTTAAAAAAAAACAGTATTTTCAAATTTTAAATGTGGATGTTTCAATGTACGTATTTTCAATGTAACAAGCTGATATTTAAGTAAAATATTCACCGTTAAATACTCCTTATGTTATTGTGTAAAATAATCTAAGTATAATAAACTAATGCATTGTGATTTATTCTTTATGAATTATATGGACCATTATAAGTGACAACACTTGAAGTTTCTTTTAATACTTGTCTATGAACTAGAATAAGAACCCTGTTTAGTACTGTATAATTTTAATGAAACGAATCTACACTAAGAATCTAATTTACAAAAGAATCTACTGAACTCATTAAATTAAAAAATAGCGATAGTGATAGAAGTACAATACTTATAAAGTAAGAAATCTATGAAAATCTGCAGAGTTATAAAATAATATTATAAATACTTTAAAAATTGTATTAAAAAGACCTTTAATATGTGTTGTATCAGAGAATCATAAGATCCTATCCTATAATTTTTTCATACTTCTATTCGTAAGCGATAATAGAATGCAGGTATCAATTTACCGACATCATGACACAAGTTTCTGCGTTCAGCTTATCCTTTACATTTAAGTTTCAAAAACTGTCCATCTTACGATGATAGATGGCGGTTTTAATTACATATGGACATACATATTTTGATAAATTAATAACAAAGTTAAATCTGTTTATGAAATATTTTTTATAAACAAAGTTATTGAAATTTTTATCTGTATGTATGTTTGTTTGTTTGTAGTGATAACTTATTACTAGGACCAATTATCAATATTTAGGATACCTTTTAATACAGGAAAAGGAAAATATTACATTCGGAAATATATAATAACTGGTTCTATTGAGTCATCCTTAGTTTAAATGGTCTTTTTTTCAACTGCCTCAGTGGTGTAGTGGCTAGCATGTACGGCTGCACACCCGGAGGTCCTGGGTTCGAGTCCCGGGTCGGGCTAAGTTTAGTTATTGAGTTTTTCTGTATAGTAAGCCTCAGTAACAGCCAACAGAGTTGGTAAGTTGGCGGTGTTTCACCCCCGTGCCTCGGAGAGCACGTAAAGCCGTCGGTCCTGCGCCTTAACTCTCACTGGTCGTGTCGAGCAGTCGTCCCACTGGAGTATGAAAGTGACAGGAATAGAGAGTGCACGTTGTGTCTGCGCGTACACTTGAGCACTATAATATCTCCTGCGCAGTTGGCTAACCTCAATGAGATTGGCCGCCGTAGCCGGAATCGGCTAGGAGAACATCATCAGTTTAAATGGCTAAACTTAAGAGATACATCAAAATAATTAACTAGAAAATAGATCTTAAAAAGCCCTACAGAAAAACCCTCAATACCATATGTTCTTCTCCTAAGATACATTCGCAATAACTATTTTTATCTTTTTAAACAGTACCTAGGGAGTAGGGACGCACACGAGTGAAACGTGGGTAAGCCCCTAATGTACTCATATTATACATAATATGTTAAAGCATAGCAAAAATTATTTTCAATTTAATATAACAAATGTTTAGTACATAATCGCTTTTAAGCGTGGTGAACGACTCATAAAATATAATATCTACATTGTTTCATCGCCATCTATGAATACGCAGTACAAATTCAACAATCTCTAAAATTTTAAAGTTTTGATTTATAGGGAAAGCATTATTTCATTTTGATTTTCCTAAAGTATTTTTAAAACCAGAAGACACTATTAGGAGGTGTATTTTTTTTTTGTAATATTACATACACGTGTGATAGATGTGGCCATTAAAATCGATATAAGTGCACACGAGTTCAGCTATCCATCGTATTACATTTATGTAACTCGATACAATCTTCTGGCTTGTAGTCTTGACCCACTCCGTAGTCCGTCTCCGCATAATGTCGTAGCCGTGTAAAGAGAATACTGAATAACGGATTCTGTCTGGGAAAAAGTCTATTCGAAATCAAACGATATTGACCATCTGTTTGCTCTTTAATACTACATTGGTTCAATAATTATAGATAAAATTACTCACTCGTTTTTACTCACTAGTTTCAGTATTTACTATTTGCTGATTAATTCTAAGAAATTCTAATCACCAGTAATAAAGTATTCACATACGATAAAGTAATTACAACTTTTTTACTATTTAACGCCTTTATTTATTACGAAAACGTTTATTTTGGACGTCTTATTACCGCTTATAATATTAATAAAAAATATATAAACCTCTTTATTATTAATGAAGTGAGTAAGAAATATTATTTGAATTATTCGTAAAACGGAACGTATATAAAAGATTGAATCTTGTCTTGCGGAAACGGCATTGACAGTTGAAATAAGCGGGCAAAATATATCAGTCAACGAACATACATCGCTATGGGAGGTTTTACGTCACCTGACGAATTGCATTTATAGTGATAATTTATATTTGGACACGCGTATTCCAAATACCCACAATGAGACACAAGTAGAATAATTAAGTGTATTTAAAACTGTGATAATCCTATCCTCGCGGCATTCTTTTATTGCTTTCACTTACTCCACATTAAGAATCGTACGATATTTATGTAGGAAAGGTATTATTTAGACGGAATTATTAAACAAATATAAAATGGAACAAAAGGAAGACAGAAAAGAAGATTTTAAATTAAAAATGTATTCTGCTGAAGAACAGAAGGCAGATGAAGGGACAAGGAAGGAGCCCTTTTGGGTCTTTGGTTACGGATCTCTTTGTTGGAATCCTGGATTTGAATACCAGCAGTCAATTACTGGATACGTTAAAGGATTTTCAAGGAGATTTTGGCAAGGAAATACTACGCACAGAGGGACCGAATCCAAGGTAAAGTTTAAGGCAGTTGAAAATATTGAATCAAAATTAATTTATTAAAAAAGATATTGTTTAAAATAGTATTTAAAAAAAACCTTTAGGTACTTGTTTGATTTTCATATTTCTCATAAATCATAAATGAATTTTTCTTTCATAGTTAGTAAAATGCGTGTGAAGCATTTGTCTGATGCAATATATGAGCGTCCTTTCACCTATGGGTTAGTTTATTACGCGTTTTAAGAATTTCTCTCATATTTTCTTTAACTGCTATTTAAATACATTGTTTTTAATTTCAATTATTTAATTTTATTTTATTAATACATATTTTCATTAACGTCTTAAAGATTTTTATTTAATTAACAGAATAAATAACGAAGTCCACTTTTGCTCATTGCGAATTATAAATATGTATTTAAAATATATATAGTCTTAAATATTTCAGTCATAATTCATTCCAAAGAAATATAAAAGCAGCCAAAATTACTTACATTGATAAAAATAATAATATAAATATATTCGTCCCTAGGTATGTTTCAACGATTAATATGGAACTGGTAGACTACATATTATATATTATATTACTGCTCACTCTCTTGGGTAGTAACATGATGACATATAACCAACCTATAGCTTTTCTCAATAAATGGACTATCTAATGCAAAAAGAATTTTTTAAATTGTATTAGTAGTTTCTCAAATTAGCACATTCAAACAAATAAACTCTGCCTTTTTATAGTATTAGTATAGATTAGTTTGTGTAATACACCATGAAGAATATTATTTTTATTGAAAAATGTATAAAAAATAATGATAAAACTTTAGTGGACAATCTGCATATTTATTATAATTTGTCAGATCGACACCTTATCTAAAGCAAAACAGGTATATCCTTAATTATGCAATATCATAATGGTTTATAAGTAATTGTCAACAGAATTACATTATCATATTATACACTAAATAATAAAAAATACATTATCGTAATATTGAATGCAAAGTGTTTTGAATCATTATTAAGTGATGTTTTATTAAATCAAAATCAACAAAACTTATTGAAGACAAATATTGTTGTGTAAATATTAGCCAGTTATTTTTTTTATTTTGTGAACATACCATGAAAATATTACTGCAACGGGATATGTTGCAAGTCGTCAATATTTTTCTCAGCCTATTATATATATTAAAATCTAATATGTATAGTGAATACAAAGGCATTTTTAAAGAGAATCATGAACTATGTAATTTTTAAATATTTTTTTAAGTAAGAAGAAACAACTAGCTAAACCATAACAAATCAGTGATATTGTGGTTGCTATATAACATTTGTAATTGCTTTAAGTAGGCTGGCAAATCACTATGTAAGCTGGTTTTGTAGGACACAAGTAGTATTTATTAAAAATTAACACCTGATTAAACAAAATGATAAACACAATATCTCGGGTTTCTTATGGTTTAGACATTAATGAGTTGTTTTGTACTGAAATAGAGTTCTTATATAGTTTTCTAGTTATGTTATGAGTTTCATTACTTGTTAAATTAAAAAAATGATGCCAAAAAGGTGCATACATACCTCTTTTAATGATAAGAATACAATATGCTTTGCATTACTGGTTTAATCAGAATTTAAAACATATTACAATTCTCACAGAAAGGGTACCATATTCTTGTTTTTGATCTCCTCAAAGAAACGTAATATGATAGAGCTCTATAGAAAAACTTTTTCTAGATATATCAATATGTAGCAACCAAATCAATTAGATGCAAACAAACAAGGTTTTCAGTGACGCATTTTCATACGTTCGTTGAATCACAAGTCTTGGTAAATGTGAAAACCCTATAAAGCCGTAAGTAATTATAATATGTAAATGCCATAATTTACAAAATAATACTATCTCAAAATAAGGCTCACTTAAAAAATATTTAATATAAATAGGGGGGCAACGTCTTCCGCGTCCGTAGGCGAGACCTAACCACCACCCTACACGTGCCCCCTGGGTGGTGCAAAATGGATGACAAACGCCGAGTATCGGGCGGCGGTCAAAAATCCCGAATCGTAGTGATCCTACGGTCAACAAGGAGGTAGTAAATGACCTCCTTACCCGTAAACACCAAACAACAAAGAATGGGAACGGGGGACTTGGCTTAATCGCCTGGTCCATGAGGAAGAAAACCTCTATAAAAAATTACCCCAATTCTACGGTTGGAAACGCGCCAAGAGAATGAATGGCTGATGGGAATTCAGTTGATAGCGTTAAACCTCGACGGACCTGGCTAACGTCGTTGTATTGTGCCTTTTTGGGGGAATGGGCGTCACCCCTCAAATGACGGTTTATATCGGCCCTACTCGTGGGAACTCTATGGAAAACAAAAAAAATCAACTAATAACTAATCCAAACCTAACTTCAAAGATGATCCAGCAAACTTTTCACACATGCATGTTTGAAAGAACCAGAAGTAACTCCGTCGGACACATACCTAAAGAAATAAACATCCCTTCGACAAATGAAAAACAGGCGTTAACAAATACCACGCAAAACTGGCAAAAAGATCAGGTGCCCTTATCTAAAAGAAAAAGGAATGATGTAAGCCCGGATGGAAATACTAATAAAGTATCAAAAACTAAGACTAACTACACCATACCAACTCAAAACCGTTTTCAGTCATTGGAAACGAATGTAGAAGAAGATATCACTAACAAACAATCAACTTTAAAAATACCAAAACCGGAACCTATATTTATCACAGGTGTTATCAATATCTCATCCTTGAAAGACATTTTAAACAAAATAACTGACACTAAGAATTACTCTATGACCACGCTTAAATCTGGTCATATTGTGAAACTAATGCCATCTGACGTAGACACATATAAGAAAATAAGAGACAACTTTATTGACAATAACATCAGTCATTACACATATAAACTTAAGAGCGAAAGATCTTACAGAGTTGTTCTAAGAGGAATACACTCATCAGAAAATACTGCCGAAATTAAACAAGAACTTCAAGAACTTGGCCACGACGTTAGGAACATTCACAATATCCTACACAAATCAACAAAACAGCCCCTACCTCTGTATTTTGTAGATCTCGAACCAAAAGAAAATAATAAAGACATATTTAAAATTACCAAGCTTAATTACATGAAAGTTTCTTTCGAGGCACCATATAAAAAAAACGAAATCCTCCAGTGCAAAAGATGCCAAAGGTTTGGACATTCTAAAAACCATTGTAATAGACCGTACAGATGCGTAAAATGTGGTAGTGAGCACCCTACAACAATTTGTACCAAAACTCCAGACACTGAAGCAACTTGTGCAAATTGCCTAGAGAAACATCCAGCAAGCTACAAAGGCTGCAAAAAGTACAAACAATATAAAGAAAACATTTTAAAAGTTAAATCTAAAACAATAGACACAAAAACAATTCAAACAATACATAATCAAAACCTAACAGCTAAACAGCCAACCAACCAACAAATCAATAATGATAAACAAAATAATTCTGATAAGACCTATGCAGATGCGACCAAGGCTAAACACTTCTCTGCCACCAATTATAAAAATACTGACCTCAATAACCTTACAGAAATAATAGACAGCATGTTTACTAGATTTCAAGCAATCATGACTAACATGATGGACAACATGATGGATCGAATGATTCAATTAATTACACACATGATGCAAAAATGATTCCAAGATTAAGAATAGTGACTTGGAATGCCAATGGCTTAACTGAACGTCGTCATGAATTTGAATTGTTTTTACAAACCGAAAAAATTGATATAGCACTGATATCAGAAACTAGATTTACATCGCAATCATATGTCATTTTTAAAAATTATAACATATATACTACAAATCACCCCTCAGGTAACTCACATGGGGGTACAGCTATCATCATTAAAACTAGCATTAAACATTACCCTCTAGAAGAATATAAAACTGAAAAAATTCAAGCAACATCGATAAAAATTCTGGATAATGGATCCCAACTATCACTTTCAGCTATATACTGTCCACCAAGACACTCTCTTTCTAAAAATGACTTTAAGGATTACTTCTCAATTCTGGGAAATAAATTTATAAGTGGTGGTGACTGGAATGCCAAACATGTACTTTGGGGCTCAAGACTTGTTTCACCAAGAGGGAGACAGTTATACTTAACATCTACAGAACTCAACTTACAATGCATATCACACGGCGAACCAACTCACTGGCCCGCAGACAGAAATAAATTGCCAGACTTAATTGACTTTTTTATCACCAAAAGCATTCCAACTAATCAAATGATTGTGGAATCATGTGTTGACCTATCCTCAGACCACACACCTGTTATATTAAATTTAGACTACAAAGTCATCATGACAGATTATCCGCTAAGATTATACAACAAGAACACAAATTGGGACACATATAAAGATACCATCAATAACAGAGTTAACTTAGCGATTTCTCTAAAAACCACAGAGGATGTAGAATCAGCAATCGAAAAATTTAATATCCTTATTCACCAAGCAGCACATAACTCCACACCCATGGATAAAAACCCTGCTCCAAATTCTCATTACTATCCAAAATACATTAAACAAAAAGTAGAGGAAAGAAGAAGACTTAGAAAAATTTGGCATAACACTGGGTTCCCTAGCGATAAAACAGAGTTTAATAAAGCCTCTGAAAGCCTCAAGAATATGATAAGCAATTACATAAACGACAACCTTCAAAAGAAATTATCTAAACTATCTCCATCTAAAAGAACAGATCACTCACTATGGAAAGTTACTAAACAAATCAAAAAACCAACTCGGCATACACCACCAATTAGGAATAATTTCGGCCTTTGGGCTAGGTCCGACAAGGATAAGGCTGCCGTATTTGCACAACATCTTCAGAAAGTTTTTGAACCTTTCCCTGGTTCTCATCCAGATCACGATATTGAAATACGCAACTACCTAGACTCACCCCTACAACTCGGCTTACCCCTCAAACCCACAAACTTAAAAGAAGTACAATCTATACTAATGAGCTTAGAACATAATAAAGCACCAGGATACGATCAGATTGACGCTACCTTGCTTAAACAGCTTCCACGGAAAGGTATAGTCCTTCTTGTTATAATACTGAACGCATGCCTTAGAATTCCAGTCTTTCCTAGTCAATGGAAAATTGCACAGGTGAAAATGATACCAAAGCCTGGCAAACCACCACAAGAGGCTGCTTCATATCGTCCTATTAGCCTTCTACCAGTACCTGGAAAAGTTTTAGAAAAAATAATCCTCACTAGACTAAAACCCTACCTCGATTGTGTACTACCGCAACACCAGTTTGGTTTTAGGGAAAAACACGGTACTATAGAACAGATTCATCGCCTTGTCGACACCATTTATAGAGCATTTGAAAACAAACAATATTGCTCAGCAGTTTTTCTGGACATACAACAGGCCTTTGATAAGGTTTGGCACGAGGGCTTACTCTTCAAAATAAAAAAACATCTTCCTCACCCTTTTTTCAGACTGTTTAATTCATACCTTGGCAAAAGATGTTTTGAAGTTAAGGTTAACTCCGAGACCTCCAACATGTGCGAATCTCTCTCAGGAGTACCACAAGGGAGTATTCTTGGCCCGGTTCTATACTTACTATATACGGCTGATCTACCAACCCATGATGACATCTTAACTGCCACTTACGCTGATGATACAGCGCTGCTTTCTGTTCACCATGATCCTAACTTAGCATCAGCAAACCTACAAGCACATGTCAATAGAGTTGAAGAGTGGTTTGATAAATGGCGTATGAAAATAAACCAAAACAAATCGACACATGTAACATTCACACTTAGAAGACAACTCTGTCCTTCAGTTAAAATATATAATACTGAAGTTCCACAGTCAGAAGATGCCAAATACCTTGGAATGTACCTTGACAAACGACTCACCTGGCGTAAACATATGGACCATTGGACCAAGCGGAAACAACTCGACACTACGATGAGAAACTATTACTGGTTAACTGGAAGACGCTCACAGCTATCTCCAACCAACAAAATACTAATTTATAAAACAATTATAAAACCAATTTGGACATATGGTATCCAATTATGGGGAACTGCAAGTAACAACAACGTTGAAATATTAGAAAGATTTCAAAGCAAGACGCTACGTACTATGCTAGATATACCATACTTTGTAAAAAACAAATATATACACATAGATCTAAAATTGAACACAGTCAAACAAGAAATCAAAAATTCTATTAAAAAGTATCAGATTCGTCTGGCAGCACACATCAATAAATTAGCGATGGAACTCCAGGGCGCCGAAAGAGCGCAATTCTTTCGTCTGAAAAGACATAGTGTATTGAGCCTTATTGATCGCTTCTAGCCACACTGCGAGGGAAACATCAATGGATGCTTCTTTGCACTAACATCTCATAACAAGAATTATAATTCTAACACAGGATTGGCTTATTGTTTATAAACAGATTGCCATGAAACAGAATTCAAAATTAAAAAAAAAAAAAAAAAAAAAAAAATATTAAATTAATATATGCTACTGTAGTCAAAACATTGTAATCTAAATTATGTATATAGGTCGTCGTCCCGCGAGTAACTTTTATTATCTTATGTGAGTTCTATAGTATTATTTAAGATCTACAAAAAATATCTTGTCATAAAAATCTAATTGATCGAAAAGGAGGTATTTAATTTATGTACACTTTTTGGGTCATATATAAAAAAAACCATATCTAAGAGACGAATTAACAAAATTACTTTTATAGTGATTAGAAGTAAGTTAGTTTGTAGGTGAAAAAAATTGCTAAATTTAGCTTACACAGCTTTCCTTTAATTTGTGTAGATCGTTGTTTACGATCAGCGAACTGATGAACTGTAAAAAATATATTAATGATAAAAGTACTACTAATAGAGACTAGACTAGAAGATACCTACATACTAAGCTTATTTATTACTAGCGACACTCTCGCTTCGCTCGCGTGCTTCTAGGGAGGTACATTTTAATTTGTTTGAGCTCAACCCTGATCTTTTACCCCTACTACCAAGTTACCCCTTAAAACATCAGATATCTGCCAGTTAGAGTCTGCCAAACAGACAGACAAAAATTTGAAAAATATTTTTTTTTCTTATTTATACCGTAATAATTTCATAGGCATATAGTAAAAAGCTGTTATTTTGTGTTTTGACATTACAAACAGACACTTAAATTTTATTTATCTGTATACATATAGGTAGATTGTTTTAGCGTTCTGTAAAATCTTAACGTATGTTTGGTCCTCTTATTTTTTTTAATATTCTTCACTGAAAAATCATCTGTATAAGGCCGGTCGCATATTAAAAGATTTTTCTGTCAGAAAATCTCTGACGCCTGCCGGAAAGCACTGCTCATATGTTAAGGTCTAGACCTCGCACACTTATCAGAAATTCGCATCAGTTGCCGCATAAGCTGATAGGTGTGCGGTACACGCGAGCATCAGAAATTTTCTGACAAAAAAATATTAAAATATGCGGCCGGCCTAAGTCTTTAGATGAAAATAGCTACGGATTTCGTATTGATGTTAATATGTAATGCGCGAGTATTTTGTGTGTTTATTTTGGTAGGAACTAGCACGCATGGCACGTGCTACTTTTTAATACCAATTTTTATTTACTTACCTATTAAAAAAATGTGTATTGATTTAGTTTAAAAGCTTTTTTGTCTTAATACTCGTAAGATATTATTTACTTTTGGCTTATTAGATTAGGTATATTTACTTGACGACATGTTTGGCTCAGTTTGTAGTGACCCTATTTGCCGTGCCAGCGGTCGCGGGTTCGAGTCCCGCTAGGAGAATTCATGTGATAAGCACGAACGTTTGTTCTCCAGTCATGGTTTACATAGATCTAGTACCCATAACACAAGCCTCGTAGCTTACCATGGAACTAGATGGCGCTGTGTGTTTATGTCCCAACATATTTATTTATTATACATATTTACTTTTGTGATGATTTGTTCATTAATTATTACTCATTAAAAATCCTCACCTGGGGTGGGGTTTAAATTATTTTGTCCATTATTATATAATAAAATTAAGTTGTAAACAATAAAACTGACTTTGTGTTTTATTTATTACTACATGTTTACACACGCACCGGATAAATTATCTCTTGTCAAAGAACTTATCAAGAAAATTGTATTGTATTAAAGTTATCTTTTTGTTACAGCCGGGTCGTGTTGCTACACTCGTAGAAGATAAGGAGGTGAGAATGATATTGTGTTATTTATTACTAGCATTGCCCGCGGCTCCGCCCGCGTTCAGATGACTAAAAACTAAATTCTTAGGTTTTACATATTAGTATACTCTTAAAATGCAGTTTTTGTATTTTTTCTCAGAAATGAGATATTTTCCCGTGGTAAAAAGTAGCCTATATGTTGACCTGGATGACCAGCTATCACCATACCAAGTTTCTAAATATTATATATTCGGATAATAATCAATATTTTAATACAAAACGACCAAAAATCAAAAACAATGTAAAACATTTTCTAAGAAGCAATATAAATATTAAATTTAGAAATTCCCAAATACAAATACAAATATAATTATGGAAAACGGGCGCTGGAATATGTTATCCCATCTTTAATTAACAACCTATCTTTAAAAGATAAAATTATCGATGAAAATATTAAATATATATTAAAACTCTATTATCTAGACCAGCCTGTATAGTACAGTTGTGTTACTAACCGATTATACGCCGTCTTGAAACAATTTAATCAACGCAAGTTGGTGATATTCTTATATGATTTTAATAGATATATAATAGTATGTATAATTGACTACCGCGTGTGAATCCGCAGTGCACGGGAAAATCATATATGGTTTTTGTTGCACTGTTTGTTTTGACTAGTGTGTTTAATAAACGTTATATTTTATTGTATGTTTAAATACTTAATAAAAAAAAATTTAAATTTCCCAAAAAATATTTAATGTACAGATTCGACTTAAAATTTTATTGTATGTATAGATAAAATAATAAAAATCTAAATTCAAAATATTTTATTCAGCATTATTACAATTTTTTACTGAACGTCATGAGTCTACTACCAGTTCGGAAAGAGGAAGCCTCAGACCTGAGAAGAACTGGCGAAAGAATATAATATAGAGATAAAATGTAATCTCTTCGATTTTTAATAGTAGTACCTATAGGTACATTAATAATTATTAATATGTGCCATTTGCTAGGGAGATAATTACTTCCTTATTTAAACCTTTTGAAGTCTGTAATTCACTTTCAGAGGGTTTTTCTTCCACGAAGAATAAAACTTTTTTGCTTCTAAGGTTATACTGTTTAATGTAAAAAATGACCTTTATATTCTAATACTAGTTTTTGCCTGTGGCTCTGCTTATTGTTGGATGAGTCGATAAAAGTTTTCTTATATTTATAATAATTTTCAAAACTACTCGTTTTAAAATAAATGCATTAGTTAGGTTATTTATCGATAAAATATTCAGACGTTCTTATTGTTAAATAAATAAATTTAAAGGTGTCCTTATAAACTTATTTATAATATGTAAGTATCTTCATAAACTTAAATAGTTGTTCGTTTCCTGGCCGTGCGTGGCGCTTGTGTTCTCTCTCTTATATCTGTCATCTGTAATGAAGTTGTTGTGTTCCGGAAGTAAAATAAAATATATTAAAGTAAAGAAGAAGTCTTACTCAATTCTCTTAAAATACAGTTAAAATCTAATACTTATATTATCTAATACCTATATAAAATTCTCGTATCACATTGTTTATAACAAAACTCCTCCAAAACGGCTTGACCGATTCTTATGAAATTTTGTGTGTATATTCAGTAGGTCCGAGAATAAGACGTAAACTATTTTCATACCACTAAGTAATAAGGATGGGCCACCCCAAAAAAAAAAATTTTTTTGGGACAATTTTTTTATTATTCGGCATTAAAAAATACATAGATACAAATCTAAATTTTCACTAGGGACGAACCCGAGCGGAGCGAGGGTGAGCCGCTAGTACCTATAAAATGTAAAGTATTTTTTAACTTTTCTTTACTCTTAACCAAGGTTATTCCTGATATAATCGTAGTTTCGTTCAGTGGTGACCTAATTTTTATATCGATAAAAAAATCCTACTAGAAAATTTTACATCTGAATTTTATTTACTTACCTAATTATAGTATTCTAGCGACTCACCCTCGCTTCGCTCGGATTCGTCCCAAATTATAAAAAATATTTTATATAGGTACAGGCCACTTTATTAGGTATATATAGTAATATAGATGAGATTAAAAGTATTTGTAAATAAGTTCGATGGCAACGCTTTTATAATAATAACATATGACTGAAGTTGAATTGTTTTTGTTTTACTCGTTATCTAGTTGGCCAACATGGGTTAATGTTATTTACTTTATTTCCTCATTGAATCCACGCTTTCTTATCTTATATATAATAAAATATACATATAATAAAATTATAACTAAGCCGAATCCGTACATGAAATATTTTTTGGAAAATCTTATTGAAATAGACATTATCATCGATACAGCGGCCATATCTATAATTTTTTGAATTTTTATCTGTCTGTCTGTGACCGCATCACGAAAAAACCACTGGACAGATTTTGACGAAATTTGATATGGTGATAGCTATAAGGGTCAACACATAGGATACTTTTTACTGCGGTAAAATATCTCATCTCTGAGCTAAACGTTTAAACATAACTAGGGATGAACCCGAGCTGAGCGAGGATGAGTCGCTAGCTTAACCTATTTTTTTATATTATTATATTCCTCTATCAATAACCTATTTACAATTTATTAAATGAACGTTGACATCGATTATATGTATATAATGTCAACATAAATGTCAGACTAGAATCTGTCAATTTATTTAGATAATCATTCTGATTTGTGGAAAAACATAAATATGTATGATGATAGTGATTATTTTACGATCATGATCATTGATCACATCTTTAATTCATTTTACACACTACACCAGATACAAAATATTAATATCTCTTTTATATTTGTTTTTTTTTATGTGTGTATTTGTTAAATTATTTTTTATATATGTACGTATGTATATCATTCATATACTTATATTTACATTAAAAATCAATATATTAAATTGTGATATATATTATCAATGACATACATATATATAATACAATTTTACTAACATCTGGCCTACTCCGTTAATATATCTCATGATATTATGACGAGTATATCGAATAGTTACACGGATTTTGTTCACAATTTCATTGGTTTTAATTATTTTGCTCAGAAGCATATTTTTTTCTGAAATAAATAAAAGAGATTAGCCGGAACAAACAGAACAATAGACAGTCAAATATATACACGTATATACTTTCATGTGCATTTAGTAAAAAAAAGCTGTTATTTTGGCATTACAAACAGACACTTCAATTTTATTTATTTGTATAGATTTTCCTTATTTCTAGTTAAACCCACTAACCTTTTATACGCGTATACTACGTATGTTTAGGTGTAAAGTCGCCACATTCACACCATTACTGCGTTGTAAATTTGAAAATCGCCGGATGTAATTGATTCTCTCTGCTTCGTCTGACGTTGTGTGATAGGTAGTATGTGATTTATAGTTATAAGCATTTACATCCCAAGTTACCCCTAATATATATATATAATGATATTACACTAAACGAAACTTTAATACTACATTTCGTTTTTAACATCTTTTTCCTTTTTTTAAGAAATATTATGTTCTTTTTTAAACATACATATAATAAAATTCTAACTACTTAAGCCGAATATTTTTAACATTAAATATTTTTTGGAAAATCTTATTGAAATAGACATTATTATCGAAAGAGGGACCGAATCTATAGTTTATAGAATTGTTGTCTGTCTGTCTATTACCGCATCACAGAAAAACCACGGGAAGGATTTTGATGTTTGGTACGATGATAGCTGGTTATCCGGGTCAACATATAGGATACTTTTTACTGCGTGAAAATATTGCATCTCTGAGAAATCTACACTAAACGTTAAAACGTAACTATATAGACGAGCGGAACGAGGGTGAGTCGCTAGTTTAAAATAAAAATAAATGAATTCATATGTACATAGGAAGTTATAGAACAAGAATTGTTATGTGTTAATATCAATAACAGTACCCTCTATAAAGAGTACCATACGATAATATTAAACATATCCCATTGTTCTAGAGACAATAAGGGCCATATAAAAATAATGATTATCCTTATTCTTAATTGATAAAATATGTATTGTTATATATAAATATAAATTATATATAAACCCTTTTGTATTCTTAGGATTAATATAACAAATATTAAAAATGACTATTTTGCATATTTGCTATTTAAGATGTTTTTGCAATATAACATAATATGCTTGTTCATTTTTTTGGAAATAATTTTTTTTTTGATAACTGGTCACTAGGCCCGAGTGTCTAGTGTAAATCCAGCGCTACCTACTACGCTAAACTAGTATATCCGTACTATTATGGTTTGTTTGGTGAGAGTGAGAGACCGTCAAAGACTCATCAAGTGCAACTAACTCCCTAACCATTTCTTCTTTCCCCACCGCGAAGAAACTCATATTCATCAAACTCATATTGTAACTGAGCCATAAAAACCATTAAAACATCTGCACTGGATATTACAAGCTTCATTAGGCCATAAATACTATTAACAAAATAGTCCGGGAATTTTTGTAAGAGAAAAAGTTGGGCGTCTCATCAAAATGAAGCTACTCACAGAAAATTAGCTTGATACTAATCACTTGGAAAAATGGTCCAGGGATCCCGGACTAAAAGGCGTATGCAATATGGATACTTATCTACAATCTTTGTTGGTAACCGTGTCGATGACCAAGATAGATAATTTTGCTAAGGAAAAACATAACAGATAGTAAAAATTTCTTTACATTGGTGAAACCGTACGATCTCGTAAATGCGTAGTTGGCATGTCTTCAAAATAATGAATGAGTGTACAAAATTAGATTTTTCATTTTACAATGGGTACAATTCCACGTTATTATTTACGTTGGAATGCGTTTGTTAGTAACTAGTTCTATAGTAATTTAATTTGTAACGCCTAACCCATATTTCGTTACTTATAATTTGAAAAGATACTTAAATTTTAAATATAAAAATCAATCAAATATTTAAATTTTAAATATTTGATTGATTTTTTTAATAGATGTATGACTAACTTAAACTACTTTGTGTCCT